GACCTAGAGGATAGAAGGGGAAGGATGAAGGAGGTGGGTGCCCTGTGTTAGGGCCAGCAGTCATTATTTCTCAGGTGCCAGATGCCGCCTCAGTCAGTTCATAAGCGTGGCTGGTCTCTCTTTTGGGAAGACCTACCCCGTGAGTCTGACCTCGGGCTAATTGTAAGCGTAAAGCTGGAGTTGAGGCATTAGTTCACCCTGAGGATCCAAAGCCAATGGGCAGGTAGGAGAGGACTTCTCAGGTACACATTCAGTCCCTTTGCTCCTGTTGGTGTTCTCGCATCTGCCACGTTATACCGGAAATCACATATTTAGAGTGTCCCTTACTCCCTAGACCGCGAGCCTCTCAGGTCAGAAGAATCCCGTCTTCCTCCCTGTGTGAGGTGTTGGATCTAGGCTCTGTAGGCCGTGCTCTTGGGCAACTCGGGTGCTGACATGTGTCGTATCTGGATGGGGTCAGACAGCTGTTTCAGCCTCTTCATTAAGTCGTGAGCACTCGTAAGATGTTGCCTTAAGTGTTTTGTATTAAATTTAAGGCATGTAAGACAGGAAAATACTTGATTTAATTTCGTTTTCTTCCCCTACATTTACCTTGTTTCTGACTGACGGATGTAAAAACCACTCCTTACCAACACAAATGAAACACAAGTCTGTTTCTTCTGGAAAATAATTATGCAGAATAATTTTCTCCTAGAAGTGCTTGTTTTAACTTTTTGCCGTGAGAGAACATTTCATCTAAGGGACAAAGCACAGCGTGGCCTGCCATATTTTTACAGTTTGGGAATGTCTTACTGTTAAATAACAGGGAAAAAAATGCTAGAATTTTAAATACAAATCCGGGCTTCTTCAGATTCATTTATTATTTATTTGTTACCAGTTGGCAGGTGTATACTTTAAACAAAAGTATAAATGTAAAGTAAAATGACTTTTCATTCTAAATACTGTTTTAGAAGCTCTTTCCTTAGTCCTTGTGAGTAAAATTACACTTGCAGTGTGTTTATAATCCTTTAAAATCCCTAAATCCTTACCAAAAAAGTTGACCCAAATGTTTAAATAAGGACTTTATTTACAGAAATGAATGTTTCTAGTTCTCTTACACTAAGTATCATTTTCTGGTGACTTACAAAAACAATATTCACTTAAGCCTGCTGCAGAAACAACATGCATATATACCATGCTTTTTTAGTATGTGAATTTGAAAGAAAGTTGTTTTGATTGTGAAATAGTGCAGATTTACTTTAAAAAGGAGCTTTAGTATAAACTCATAGGTTGACAGAAGAGCAGTTTAATAAATTTTATGTCTAAACGTGGCCTTTTTTTTTTTTATTACCGGTGATTCATTTTAATTAACATTGTTTTTTGTTGTGATTCCCAATGTACAAGGAAATAAAATCTCAAACTCTCATTGAATTTATGCCAGTATAATGCTTTTCAGGTTCTTGTTTTTGCTGTAGGTAGCTTTAATTTACTCTGTCTGCTTGTCTGTGATCAGAAATGACGTAGATATTATTGCTGTGACTACACTAAAAAAAGATTGTGTTAGAAGTACCCAGATCGTATCAGTGGGAATAAACTCCACTGGCCTCAGTGTATTTACCCGAACAGGGTCAGTGTATTTGAGGTAAATATTGTAACTTGAAGTTTATGTTCTCAGAGCCTGCATTTTTACCTTGAGAGACTTTTCAGTTAAGTTTGCTTATTTTAGGGGTTACTTTTGGCATCACCCCTTTCTTTTTACGTATCTCTGTGAGCTGCCAACTCCAGCAGCTGCTGATTCTCAGTGGCCCCCTCTCCCTTGGTTGACATTCTGACGTCATCCTTGACCGCTCCCCCTCTCCTCCTCTGCCTTCCATCCCCGGTTTCCTTAGGTCTGAAGCATTGGTGTGGCCTACGCTCCCATCCCTGCCTTCTTCCTTTACTTTGCCTTTTTCTGTTCCCAGGTGGCAGCCACTCTTGCACATGAGCTGCTTATGTCCCAGCCTACGTCTCCTGTCTTGGACTCCAGGCCCAGCTGCCCAGCTGCCCGCTGGATGCCTTTACTTTCAAGTCCTCCTGGTCTTACTCAACACGTACACAAGCCAAACTCCTCATGTCATCTCTGCAAACCTGCTCCTTCTGTGTTCCCTGCTCATGCAGTTGGAGGCCGACTCTGCAAGTCACCTGCTGGCTTCCATGCCCTCAACTCCCCCATCCAGATAGCCACCAAATCTTGTGTATTCTGTCTTCCGGAAGCTTTTATTCAGCCTTTCTCTCGACTCCCATCTTTGTCCAGGCTCCCCCAGACCCCATCTCAATACTGTAAACGTTCTAACTAAGCCTCCCTTGGGGCCCCACTCCCGCCCAGGCAGGACTGCCTTGCTTCCATCCCCTGCTTCTAGATCCCTACCTCCTGACATCTAGTGATACCTAGAGAAATGTTTGGAAATAAAATGAAGTAAACGACTCTGTCCCCTCATGTGACAAGTAATCCTGTAGGTGAATCCAGGACAGTTAAAAGAATGAGAATTCAGGATTTCATCACAAGTGGATATTATGCCTTCATTTCTCGAGAAATAGTGCTCCAGGTCTGTTCTGGTAAAGGGAACTACACTCTCAGTATAGATTTACAAACTTACACACAGGTGGAGTCCCTTTTTTATTGAAAAAGTCTCCTGTTTTACTTACGGTGATTTTAAAACATTAGATTTTTAATTGTTAACAGTTTATTGCTGAAATTATGTTTGGCGATATGCTGTCAAATACTCTGAGACAGTTATGTTCTTGTCAGGATCCCAGTGATGCTTTTTAACCCCCGTTGTCTCCTTTATGCCCATGTTACAGTTCACCAGAGCAAGGAGAGGGGGCACTGGGCTTTGACTAAAGCCCGTCTCCTAAAGGTTGTGATTAGTGTGTAGGAAAGACTGGCGGTTGGAAAAACTTCCACAGCTTCCACCCCGACCAAGGTTGTGGTGTGCTCTTCAGCCTCTTCTGGCCTTGGGAAGTGAGGGAACGATCAGATTCTCTACTTTGGGTCTTACTTCTCTCTGTGCCATTTACCGTCGAGTCACTGTAAATTCACACGACTTCACACATTTTCTCTGCGCTTTGATTATTTAATGAAAGACACCATTACCTCAGATGCAGTGAAAGACCCAACACATAGAAATGACACTTATGTTAACAAGCCTCGGGAGCCTGTGTAAGACTTTTCTGTTCAGAGAGTATGTTTAATAATGGGGAAGATTCATGGGACTCCTGATAAAATAATTTCATAGACTTGTTCAGAAAAGTGGTGAGGTTCTTTAGTTGCATGAATTGGTTATTTTTCTTTGAAAATTCTTTACTTCACAAAAATAACTTTTACGTGGAAAATCTTACAAGCTTTTTTTTTTAAGAAACTGAGGCGGTTCTTACCAATGTCCTATAGTGACTGTTGGCAAAGGTGTGAATGGTGAATGGAACCTAGGCTTCCTCCCTCCCTCTTCTCTCTGTCGTCTCTTTTATATTAACCATTTCCAGGCTTCCGAGGGATGTGTAGTGTGGCAGGGAGTGTGCTATAGCACAAGCAAATGGTGCAAATACATGCTTGACAGATGTTGAGATTTTGGCTTATCTAGTACTGTTCGGCTCGTATGCTTCAGTAATCAATTTTTAAAATACAGACTCTAGCTAAATATATTTTAACTCTTTGCATGATAAAATACCTTGGAAGGATGTATCATGATCTTTATGGCAGAGATACTGTCTTTAAGACATGCTTGATAGGAAATCCCAAAGAGAAAAATCTCGAGTCATTGGGTCTTATGGAACAGAAGCATATATTTTAAATATACAACCATGTCCCTTTCCTGTATATGTTGATCTTTGACCTGAATTGTTAACGGGTTTTTTTGTTGTTGTTCTTTCCTCTATGATGTTGTTAGAAGACTTTGAGCCTCTGGGTATTGGGCCTTAAATTGAACTTTCTTACATAGCAAAAAAGGGAAAAAAAATGCTTTGGGTGTTAGGTCCTAACGAAAACTAGGTCCTTCCTGATGAAGATTGAACTCGTGCCTGTCTTGTTTCAGCACTGCGGCTGTGCCTCATCTAAGTGGTCACACAGATACTTACTGCGGTCACAGATTCGTCTTCGTGTCCACTGCCACCTGAAGGCGCTTGTCAGAAGCTCCTGATGAGAGGCTGTAGCAGTAGGGACGACTGGCACACGAGGCCCTTTGTTCATTCTCTTGGTCATGGCTCTGCACGGACCCCGAAGGCTTTGGAGTCTGTGTGGGGAGAAGCGCCCGTGTGTTGCCCACGATAATGACACTGTTTTGGTTGCTCACTCCGTGGTTAAAGCCTCCAAGCTCTGTAGTCATTACCAGCTAACTGTTAGGAAACCGAGAAGTGAGTAATCAATTGCCAGTTGTCCTTGAAGAAAAAATAATGATGTGATTTGAAGAAAGGTTTTCTACGATAATTTCAGTCTTCACTTGGCATCCTCACCTCACGCATTTATTGTGGAGGACTCTCCGAGACACACTGCCGTGAAATCGAGAAAAATTGCATGATGTTTTGGTGAGCCCCATTGGAGACAGACCTCTTAAGGAGGTGACGGGAGCTGCGGAGAGGCCCGTGGCTTTGCAGTGTGACCAAGCCGGGGTGGACTCCGAGGCGCCACATTGGGCTGCGTGTCCGTGGGCTAGTCACTTAACCTTGTGGAGTGTTGTGGGCACGTGAATCCTCTAGCATAGTCCCTGGCACGAAAGAGGTGCTTAATAAATATTGTTCCTCTTCTCCTGTCTGTGAGGCTTGTGCATTTCCCTCTCATGGGAAGGCGTCTACGGTCTCAGGCTCCCGTGGGCCCCTACTTCAGTGCCACGGAGCACGCGGTGGGGCGCTCGGGGACAGCAGAGCGTAGGCTGCTTGTACAGTCGTGCCGTGTGCGTGTGTGCGTGTGTGCGCGCGTGCATGGGCGTGCGCGCCAGGGTGGGAGTACCATCTACTGCGGGTTCCAAGTAACACTCTTCCTTTCCTGGCAGGTGCCTGAGATCATCAGCTCCATCCGCCAGGCCGGGAAGATTGCCCGGCAGGAGGAGCTCCATTGCCCGTCCGAGTTTGACGACACGTTTGCCAAGAAGTTTGAGGTGCTCTTCTGTGGCCGGGTGACGGTGGCTCACAAGAAGGCCCCTCCGGCCCTGATCGACGAGTGCATTGAGAAGTTCAACCACGTCAGTTGCAGCAGGAAAGCCGAATTTGACTTGGTCTCCCAGAATTCTGAAACCCCAAATCCTGCGGGAGGCCTTTCCTTCACGGAGAAGTTCCGATCTGTGCTCCAGCCAGTGGGGAACGGCGAGCAGGGCCGGAGGCCGATGCGCAAATCCTTCTCCCAGCCCGGGCTGCGCTCGTTGGCCTTTAAGAAGGAGTTTCAAGATGGAAGCCTTCGAAGTAGTAGTTTTTTCAGCTCCTTTGAGGAAAACGACATTGAGAACCACCTCCTTAGCGGACACAATATTGTGCAGCCGACAGATATTGAGGAAAATCGAACTATGCTCTTCACGGTAAAATACCATCAAGCCCTGGGCTCATCCCCAGTGTGAGATCCATGTTCTACCGGCTTTATTGAGCAAGGATTCGTAGCAAATTGCTTTTGGATTTATGTGTGAATCTATGTACCTTTATAGTGAATAATCCTTTTCTCAGGATAAAATCCTTACTTTAGTCCTAGGCCTTTATAAAATCATTATTGGAAACCTAAAGAGAATCTATCTTCTATCCTTGTTTGTTTTTATCTCTACCACGCCCCCCCCCCCCCTTAGTTGAAAGAGACCTTTTCAGTGGAAGCAACAGGGCACAGATGTAAAAGAGGCCCCCGGAAGGATTTTTTAAAGTATATTAATTCCAAGTAATATATTTCGACAGAATCTTTTAGTTGGAAAATACTCCCTCTTTACTGTTTCTATTAATTTATTATAAAACATTTATCCTTTGTTAATCAGGATAATTGGATTTGGGGATAAGATGATATTTGAAATTTATACCCAAACTGAAATAATAGTTTAGCCAACTGTTTACTCCCTTTTTTCTGGAAGAGGTTTGGTGAACTGATAGCCAAGTGCCGAAAAGGAATGGACAGGGAAGCTGTCCTTGGCACTTGGGGTTCCTGGGTTCTGTGCTGCTCTGGGCTCCTCTGGATGGGCTTGCCCGGGGCCTTCCCGGCAGTGAGCTGGCCACTGATGATCTAGGGAACTGATTGTTCTTCAGCCCTCTTCTAGAATGTCATGACTGGTATTCTAGAGAGAGCAAAATTACCGTGAGTATGATGTTCTTGTGCCTAACTCAGAGCGGTGAGGTGGCCGACGGGTAAGGAAGCTGCTACTTAGGTTAAGGCCATGTTGGATGTAAGCAGATTTAAGATGAAGATGATGTGTCAGTGGGTAAATAGGGCTTTTTCTTCCTCTTTTCGTCATGTACTGAAAAAAATGCTAAGCACTCAGGCTTGTGCTTTAGTCTGTGGTGTATATTTAAAAAGAAAAAACTCTTGGTGTTACTGTGAAAGCTGCTCAGCGCACGTATGTTCAAGTACTTGGTGTGTGAGTGCCATGTGCAGGGTCCCTTGCAACATGCTAGTAATAACAGCGGTGAACAAGACAGCCTTGGTCTCTGCCCACGCCAAATTTAGATTCCAGTAAGAGGGATTGACAACCTAGTGTTCAAGTAATTGTCTCATTACAGTTGTGCTCAGTGCCACAAAGGAGAAGTAGAGGATTATGTGAGAACATCTGGGGATTCCAGGAAGGCTTCTTGGAGGAAGTGATTTTCGCTGAGCAGAGGTTCAGTGTGGCCACCTAGATATTATTCTAGTTGGAGTATCCTGGGTTCAGGGAGCAGCAAGTGAAAGGCCCTGAGGGAGGGATGGGCTCTTGCAACACAGTCCTCTGCTAGAATGGAGTTTATTACGCTGACCCAAGGCTGTAAGGCAGTGTTAACTATGCTAATGCTCTAACTTTAAGAGGTGAGTAGTATTTGAATGCCTACCACATAGTTAGCTACTCAACAAATGGTAAGTTATTTTAACAATAGTTTTAAAAGACTTTTCAGTAAAACAGTTAATAGAAAGTGTTTTGGAAGTTTCAAAAGGAGAGCTTTTGTTTTCTGGAAACTTTACTTTTTATATCCTTATAAAGGGGAGATGTGGCATCTGTGGTTTCGTTGTTAACTTTTGGATATTTGGTTCTTTGATCTCAAAGAAGCCTGCTGTCTTACGTGGGTGAACGTATTAGCAGGTGTCCTGTGCTACCTGAAATCTGTAGAGTAAACCGAAGCCTCTGGAGGTGATTGTCCACAGTGAAATTGTCAGAATCTTAAAGGAGATTGTCCCTTTGGTTCTATATTTTCATAGGTCACAGAATGAGAATGTTTGTTTAATAAAATTGAATTCAACTTTCATGAAAAACTAGTTTCTTTTTTTGTCTTTTAAGATTGGCCAATCTGAAGTTTACCTCATCAGTCCTGACACCAAAAAAATAGCATTGGAGAAAAATTTTAAGGAGATATCCTTTTGCTCTCAGGTAAATGGAGATGGGTTATTGCCTCATTTGCATTTGAATTGTTAATGAATTCTTCTATCTGTTATTCAGCAGAAGTGCTAAAAGGTCACAAGATGTATGCCTTCTAGGTACACTTGATTTGCGATCTTGGCATTTCTCTTTTGATTTGGTATATTAAGGCAAAATATACGTATAATTTTGAAATTAAGTTCGCTATTAGCAACAGTAATCTACTGGAGGAAATAGGTGTACTTTTCTTTCTTCAGTTATTGGTGGTCATGTTCTGTAGTCACAAATTCCAGATGTGTATGTGTGGGTCTGCGTACATGTCTTACATATACATTCATATATACAAATATTTTTAAATAGATGCTCATTTCTACTTTATAAAAATTCTTAACTCCTTTTTGGGTACGAGTCATTATTCTTTCTTAAAATAGTGAATCTCTTTAAGGATGTTTTCCTCAGAATACAGTGTCTACTTGAGTTCTTTCTTGATAGTCTCCCAAGGTGTGTTTCATGGAGATATTTTGGAGAATCGGTTATAGTGAGCTATGTCAATTGTACTCAGGGTCTTCCTAGCAACAAACAGGAGATCACTTAAAGTTATTGTTTGGCTGTATTTTAAAACTCTGACTTCTCACTTCCTCGCTTCCATGTTCTCATAATTAATAAGATGTAATGAAAATCTCATTGCTGATTTGTAACATGATCTGCATTAAAAAAAATCCCTTTTGAATCCATTTCCCAAAATGTGAAAATAAAGAATGCTCCTTTTATAGTTGATTAGGGGATCATTTGCAAAATAAATTTTTCCAAATCCTATTCCCCGGAGAACGAATGTCTAGCAGGTGCTTACCTTGCTGTGCGAGAACATGGATTGAGATGCCAGAATCTGTCCGTGATTGCCCATTTATTGGAAAATGTTCAACCTGAAAGTGAGATGATCCACGGAATTTAATCCCGCTTTGCTATTTCTCTTGAAATGTTAATATTCAAGGTTTGCTTTTTCATGTAACAGTTTTATTATTTCCTGAAGGGTGTAGCTTACAAGTGTACGTGATGACCTGAATTTCAAGTTACTGGCACTCGTATCTCTGCGTGCTGGGGCTTTCTGGAGATGCTCACGTATTAATATTTATGGGCTATGTCTTATCTGCATCACGGTGCCTCTTAGCTGATTCTTCCAAAACAAGTTTACGTATTTATTGAGAAGAGTTCTTAGGAAGCTATGGTGTACAGCCTTGGCCTTAATAGCTTACATTTAAAAGCTTCTCTGCTCTTTGTGTGTATAATTCTTGACTCATTCTTCATACCAGTGTACTTCAGTACTTACCTGTTTGTTCTTGTAGGAGAGTATAAATGGGTTTTAAATCTTTTTTTTTTTTAACCTTTGTGTCTGTGAGTGTTTGCGTGTGTGTGTGCTTGTGTGTGTATAGTTGTGTTTCTTCAATAATCTTTTGTCTACTTTTGATTTTCAAAGTAATTTTTTATTCTTTAGTACCTAGGAAAAGTTCTCATTTTTCTGTGTCCACTTTTCTGTATTTCCTTTCATTACTAAAATGAACATTAAAAATCCTGCTTTTCAGTTCTTATATTATGGGGGTAATCAGAATAATATTTTAGTAGAATGATGTTAATCTTCATATTTGAGAGATGTTTTTAGATATTTAAAATACCTGAGAAAATCGTGTGGAACCACAAAAGACCCCAAAAAGCCAAAGCAATCCTGAGAACAATAGAACTGGAGATCACAATCCCAGATTATATACTACAAAGTTGTAGTAATCAAAACAGTATGCTACTGGCACAAAAATAGACACATGGATCAGTGAAACAGAATAGCCCAGAAATAAACCCACGATTGTATGGTCAGTCTGTGACAAAGGAGGTAAGAGTATACAATGGGGAAAAGACCGTCTCTTCAACAGTGGCCCTGGGAAAACTGGACAGCTACATAAAAGAATGACACTGGACCACTTGCTTATACTGTACACAGAGATAAACTCAAAATGGATTCAAGTCCTAAATGTGTGGAACATGAAAGCACAAAACTCCTTGAAGAAAACATAGGCAGTAACTTCTTTGACATTGGCTATTGCAGAATTTTCCAGATATCTCCTCAGGCAAGAGAAACAACAGCCAAAATAAACTATTGGGATTAAAACAAAATAAAAAGCTTTTGCACAGAGAAGGAAACCAACAACGAAATTAAAAAGCAGCTTACTGAGTGAGAAAAGATATCTGCAAATGATATACCCCATGAAGAGTTAATATCCAAAATAGGAAAAGAACTTACACAACCCAACACCAAAAAACCAAATAATCTAATTTAAAAATGGGCAGAGGACCTGAATAGACATTTTTCCAAAGAAGTCATATAGATGGCCAAGAGAACACATGGAAAGATGCTCAACATCACTTACCGTCAGGGAAATACAAATCAAAATCACAGTGAGCTATCGCTGGCAAGGATGTGGAGAAAAAGGAACCCTTGGTGCACTGCTGGTGGGGATGCAAACCAGAGCAGGCACTGTGGAGAACAGCATGGAGGTTCCTCAAAACATTAAAAATAGAACTACCATATGATCTGGTAATTCCACTACTGGCTATTTACCCAAAGAAAACAAAAGCACTAATTCAAAAAGATACATGCATCCGTGTTTTTACTGCAGCCTTATTTACAATAGCTAAGATATGGAAGAAATCCAAGTGTCCATAAAGGAATGGCTGAGGAAGATGTGGTATGTATATATACCCAATGGAATATTACTCAGCCATCAAAAGGATGGAGATCTTGCCATTTGGGACAACATGGATGGACCTAGAGGGCATTATGCTAAGTGAAATAAGTTCAAGAAAGATGAAGAAAAAAAAGCAGAAACAGACCCAAATAGAGAACAAACTGACAGTTGCCAGAGGGGAGAGGGGTGGGAGGTGTGCAGGCTTCCAGGTACGGAATGCCCAAGTCACAGGGATGAACGGTCACGGTGCTGGGAATACAGTCAGGGTATTGTAATAGCGTTGCTTGGTGGTAGATGGGAGCTACACTGGGGGTGGGCACGGCATGGCATGACGTACAGACGTGTTGTACACCTGAAACTCATGTAACATTCAGTATCAGCTGTACCTCCGAAGAATCTGGGAAATAATTTGAGTGCTCTAGAAGACTGCTGCCTCAGTCTTGTTGCCTTCTGGCACTCGTGACTCGGATACGGCTCAATGCTCCTCCCTCTCTTCCCCGCCTTCAACAGGGTATCAGACACGTGGACCACTTTGGGTTTATCTGCCGAGAGTCTTCAGGGGGCGGAGGCTTTCATTTCGTCTGCTACGTGTTTCAGTGCACCAATGAAGCTCTGGTAAGTGAGACTAAGCAGCTCTTACCTGGAAGACGTACTTACGTGCAGTGTCAACCTCACTGATTTTTCTTTCCTTCGCAAACCGTAGAGCTTCATCGACTTGTCGTTATTTGGCTTTAATTATCCGCCATGACTATTTAATAACTAGCTAGTACACATGCAAGCCTTATTTGGGTATGTGTCCTCCATTTTCGTTGTTTGTGAGGAACATGCTCCCGTTTACCCTTGGCCTAGCATTAAAATACGTCATTTTGGACGTATGATGCAGAGGAGTTGGCTTTTTCATGAGTATTGATTTGTTTTTATTTTTTACCTTTTCTCCTTTATGAGCTTTGAGCATCTAGGTAGTGTTTCTCAGCCTGTAATCCTAGCAGTTATTATGATGATTATCTGTCCGTTGGTGATTAATAGTCCCCCCCCACCCCAAAATCTTAAAATGCTAAGTCTTTGCAGAGTCCTGAAGTCTCAGCCCCACTCGTCTTAAATGGGCATTTTGCTGGCTGCCCTGTGTCTTCTCTCCGATCAGGTTGATGAAATCATGATGACCCTGAAGCAGGCATTCACCGTGGCTGCCGTGCAGCAGACAGCAAAGGCACCTGCCCAGCTGTGTGAGGGCTGCCCCCTGCAGGGCCTGCACAAGCTCTGTGAGCGGATAGAGGGTGAGTAGCGGCCCCCCTCCAGGAAAACCGAGGCGCTCTGCGTTCCTTGCGAGGCTCCTGTTAGTCACAGGGATCATAGATGAACTTCCAGCATGTGGGGGGGTGTCTTCTGTATCTTGCTGAGCTATTGTGCTATGTGCTCAGGGTTTGAAAATGAACTGCCATGCCCCCGTCTACCATCGCCACTCTAAGGGTCGTGGAGTAGAGAAATAGAAACTATAAATCCAGCCGCCTAGCGTTTATCCAGGTTGTGAGTGGTCAGGTCAGCCCTGTTGGTTGCTGTGAAGAGATCTGCTAAGGTCAGAGCTGCAGAATCTCCACCAGGTGTTTCAGGTCCAAGGTTATCGGTAACCCCTGCCAGAACAGTGTTCACGGAGTGAAGGGGGCAGAAGACAGGTTGCAGCTGAGTCACAGGGAAAGAGTAAAAGGGACTGAGAGTTGACTATAGTGTCTAGAAATGTGGTATAGGGAGAAACCGCGGTAAATGTGATCATTTGCAGCTACTATTTATTGAGCACTTAAGATGTACTAGGCACTATGCTAGGTGCTTTCACATGTGGGAGGAAAGAGGATTGTTGATTTGTACACTTCAGGGATAAGTACATCGAGGACTCGAAGTCTAGGGGGAGACTAGTGTGTGAGTCCGGGAGTCTGCCCATATGGGGAGGCCCTCCCTGTTACCAGCCCTCAGAGTCGCTCCCCAGGAGGAGGCCGTGCTGGGAGAAGAGCCAGCTGACCCAGCTTTGCACAGCTGGGGAGGTTTGAGCAAATCCAGAGCCGCGGGGCCCCGGTGGGTCAGAATAGAAAGGAGGAGACCCCTCCTGAACGAGGGTGGGGAATCTTCTTCAGGTGGGAGGGGAGATGCTCCATTTCTGGGCCTGCAGGGGAGGCGGGGGGCGAGAGGAAGAGAACCAGGGTAAACCCGCCATGATGATCCTCTGAGGGAACCCGACATTGAAGGGGTTCATTCCTCTCTCTCTCTTTGGTTTTACATTTTTTTCCATTTATAAGAGGATTTCTAAAATGTTGTGTGTGATTCTGAGGGGAGTCACAGGATTTGAACAACCCGTGTTACAAATAAACAAAAACCAGAAAAACCCCAAACCAGATTTGATCATTTCCCAGTCCCTAGTATAGTTCTAATAAGCTCTATACTATTTAGATTTCATTTCCCTTTTTTCATAATTGTGGTAAAAGTACACATCATATAAAATTGACCATTTTAACCTTTTTAAAGTGGACAGTTCAGTGGCGTGAAGTACATTCACGTTGTTTTGAGGCCACCACTGCCATCCATCTCTGGAGCTTTTTAATCTTTCCAAACTGAAAGTCATTAAGCCGTAACTCCCCAGGTCCCCTGCCCCGGCCCCTGGCAGCCACCATTCTGCTTCTGTCTTTGTGAGCGTGACGGGCTCCAGGTACCTCATCTAAGTGGAATCATGCAGCTTTTGTCCTTTTGTGACTGGCTTATTTAGCATAACATCTCCTAGGTTTATTCATGTTGTAGCATGAATTTCATTCTGTTTTAAGGCAGACTAGTATCCCCTTGTATGTCTGTACCATCGTGTCTAGTCATCTGTCCATAGACGTTTGAATTGTTTGCACCTTTTGGCTGTTGTGAATGATGTTGCTATAAAGTCGGTGTACAGTAGCTCTTCATGTTCCTGTTTTCAGTTCTTTTGGGAATATACCCAGAAGTAGAATTGCTGGATCATATGGTAATTATGTGTGAAATTTTTTGAGGGACTGCCACTATATTTTCCACAGTGGCTACACCATTTTACATTCCCGTTAGCAGTGCACAAGTGTTCCTTTTTCTCCACATCCTGGCCAACGCGTGTTACTTTCGCTCTTCCTTTTTTTTTTTTTTATTAATGATAACCATCCTAATGGGTGTGCAGTGGTATCTGATTTCCCTTTTTAAATGAGCTAAATTGACAATTATCACCTTAAGTTTCAAAAGCTCATTTGCTGGCATTATAGTGCTCTTTAAAATGAATCAAAATGATTAATATTTTCAACTGTGCTTCCCTAGTTACTGTTTGCTGACATTATACAGAATATAGCTGGAAAGGAGAAAAGTTGAGCTTTACCTAGAGATCTCATCTGAAAGGATCACTAACCCTTCCCTTAGTGGTTGTCAAGATAAGGGAAACGATGACAGAATTGTCCCTTAAGAGCTTATTAAGCCAACGACAATGTTGGCCTTGAAGATAAAGCAGACCGTGATCTGCAGGACTGGAAGGATTCCAGAGTTCTACTTGATAAATCTTTCTGTGGTCTGGCTTAGCTTTCAGAAAGTGAGAGCTGAAAAGTTCAGTCAGGGTAGGGATTTTGCTGCTGTATTTTGGAATTATTATTTAATTCCTCTTTTTACCTGATAAAACCCAAGCAAAGCAGAAAGCTCTGTTAATGTAGAAACATTTTTGATAGCACAATTAGAAGGCTGGTGTTTTGCCTCCCTGATGGGAAGCATTTCTTAAGTATAGAGAGCACAGTATTACAGGCATCCATAGTAGGGGAGATGTGTCCTTTGTTGGGGTGATGCTAGTTTTACGTACACTTTGAGGCCCTTGCTCTTTGCTGTGGTGCATTCCTCATAAGTAGAGTGAAGCGGTTTATGAAAGCTCGTTGTATGTTCCCATAAGAGTAGCTCTAATGGGAAGTCACGTTCTGGCCACGATTTCCATACACTGGGGAGAGGACCAGTGACATGGCCACAAAAAGGAAGACTTAAAGACTGCTTTCTTTTTTTTTAGATTTTATTTATTTATTTGACAGAGAGATAGCGAGAGCAGGAACACAAGCAGGGAGAGTGGGAGAGGGAGAAGCAGGCTTCCCGCTGAGCAAGGAGCCGGATGTGGGACTCGATCCCAGGACCCTGGGATCATGACCTGAGCCGAAGGCAGACGCTTAACGACTAAGCCACCCAGGTGCCCCATAAAGACTGCTTTCTTAATCAATTGATGTAGTCGGGTTATGCCCTAGGATTTATAAAAAAGTACATACACTCTACCCACCGATCACGTTGGACATGCCACTCACAACATGTAAGACATGCAGCTTTGCTTGGGTCTGAATTTGAACTCTGAACAGCTCCTCCAGTGCTTTATTTAGCATTTTGCTTATTTTAAAGTTGAGCAGAGCATTTTGGGAATTACTAGAATGAATTATATGTTCACTAAAAAGGAAAAAGAGTTGAACTGAGTTTTCCTTTTGCGGTCTAAGTAAATTTGCCTCTGGTAGAGCAAAGCCGTTCATCAGAGCTCCCTTAATAAGAGCCTTTTCTGCACTAACGCTGTGAATGGCCTCACTAACAGCCGGGCTAAAGGGGTTGTAGTTGGGGAACGCGCTTCACTCTGGTTACCTTTTTCTCTGTTGTTCCTTGCACCCCTTCCCCCTGTAAAGCCTTTTGGCATCACGTGGGGGGGGTGCCACCTTCTTGCTGCAGAAGCCAGCCAGCAGCGGTTGACGTTGCTGAGAAGCCACGTGGAAGGTTCGCTGTGAACGTGGAGTGGAGAGCCAGGCACGGGGGCCGAGGGGGGTCAGAAACCTCACCTCCTGTTTGAGGTGGGGCAGCAGGGACCTCCTGAGGTGAGGCATCCTGACAGCAAGGATGAAACTCGCCAAGAATCTCCTCATACCTGCTGAGTATGAAGAGTAGTCTGTATTGTGGCCTGATTGTTAGAGGTGTATAATTAGTCTGTTGTGTAGTTATTCTATTATACTGTTAGTCTGTTGTATAGTTGGTCAGACTTTTCTTAGAGCTTGGCGGTTCTCTCCACATGTGAGTGTCTCGTCAAACAATCACATATGTCCAAAATAGGATGCTTGTCACATTGTGTCAGAGACCTGCGGAGAGGCCTTTTGGTTAACGATGATGTTCATTTTTCTCGTAAATTTAAACACTATTTTGATTCAACATTTAAGTAGTTAGTGCAGTAAAACCATCTCTCTGTTTCCCTGGCTTGTATGACCTGCCAGCTTGCTGGAAGAGTCCCTGAACGGCGTCTGACAAAACCCATCTGTCTTTTCTGCACTTGGTCCGCCTCTGCATTCACTTTAGGACTGAGGCCACTTGTGGGTGGAGGAGGCAGTGGGGAGTTCACGACGTCCGCGGAGGTAGACGGGCATGGTGTAGAGCCTGACTGTCCCTCACTTAGCCGATGACCTCGGACAAAATGCTGGACTTTGCCCGTGCCTCAGTTTCTTCATTCATACGTTGGAATTACTAAAGATGGTGCCCACTCAGGGACTGTTGTGAGGATTGAGATGATGCACGTAGTGGCACAGCCGTCACTTCAGAAGTACTGGCTTCTATTTTTATAGGATTTTCTTGACAGAAACTAAGGGGGGGGTGCTGCTGGGAGGAGGGACATCCCGGAAGCTGAGGTAGCCCCTGCAGTTTGAGGAGGGGTGTGGCTTCCATCAGAGCTGTGAGCAGGGTGGCGGCTCTGCGTCCGGCTGCCCTGGGGTGGGGTTGGGGTGGGGAGGCAGCGGCTCTGTGGCGGGCTTGGCTGCTGATCGGCCTCCTGACTTTTG